CCCCCCCCCAGCCCGCCTCGCGCCCAACTGTCACGCGCCAGCCGCGCTCGGGCGCCCCGCAGCCGCCGCGACCTCCGCGGTGCGAGGCCGGGGGTTGCGCCCACTCACCCAGAAGATGACATTGAAGCCGAAGATGAAATATTTGATGCAACAACTGACTTCAGGCCCCTTGTAGTGCTTCCCGGACATCCTCTGCGCTCATGAAGACACTTTGCTCGCGGCCAGGATGAAAACCGAAGGTGAGGGGATGAAAAAGAAAGAAAGAAAAAAAAAAAAAAAAAACCAACAAGAAAAAAGCATAAAACGGGCGGCGGGGTGCGGGGGTGAAAGGACTGAGGGAGGGGGCGGCGCGACGGGCAGAGCTCAGCGCGCCGCGGGGAGATGGGGGAGATGCGGCAGAAGCGGCGCGGCGGCGGCGGCTCGGCTCCGGCTCGCCGGACGCCGGGGATGGCCGGCCAGCAGCTCCCGCCTTCGCCTCTCCCGCATGGAGGAGGCCCCGACTGCTCGCAGCGGGGAGAAGGGGACCGGCGGGAGGTGCCTAGGCAGAGGCGCGGGGCTCGCAAGCGCCCGCTTGCACAACGCTCCCTCCCCCGCCCCCACAGCGGCAAGGGCCGCCGCGTGGCCCCGCCCCGCGGTGATGGTGGTGGTGAGCGGGGGAGGGACGAGCCCCGCAGTCGCGAGCGCCGGCGGGATGATTGACGGCGCGCCGAGCCAATCGGGCTTCGCGGCCGTCCCGCTTGAAGCGCCCGCTCCTCGCGGCGGGCGTCCCGGCGGCGGGGTGCCTGCGGGGGGGCTGAGCCGCCGGGGTCGGCCCGCTGCGGGGAGCGGCCTGCGTCGTGTCGCGTATCGGAGGGGTCGGCGCGGCCTCGAGTCGGGGTGAGGACGAAGGGAGGGCGGTGGTGGGCGCTCCTGGCAGCGCCGAGGCGAATGCCCTCTCACTTAGCGCCCGTGGTCAGTAGTAATGACGAGGACGCGTTGCTTCGCGGCGGACTTTTAGGTTTTAAAGGTCAACCAAACCCTTGGCGAAGGACAAATGAGTGGGCAAAACTCATTGATCCGGCAGTCCCTGGCAGCCTGGTTGTGGGCTGGCTGCCGTGATGAGAGGGTGCACAGCCCGAATTGCACCGTGTGCAGCTTGTTGACGGATGTCTTCAGATCACCTCCCACCTGAGTCTGTGTGTGCTACGTGCACAGGAACACAAGAACTATTTTACGGCGTTTTCTAGAGTTCCTACTGAGCGTACACCAACGGTATCTGCCAGCTGTAGCGTTGTATTCATATGCTACTTGGGATTCAGAGTACATGCAGCCTAGCATTAACAGCATAATAGCATTTCCTGGCTGAAGGATATCATCGTCTCAATCTTGCAAGTCTTCAGAGTTTCCTGGCCCGGCAATGATAAGTGCAATACTTTTAATTGAAAAGATGGAAGACTTCTTTGTAATAGTAAATTATGCCTCCCGTTTCTACCAGACTGCAAGATAACAGTCTTCAAAAGAATATTTTTAGAACAACAGTAGTCTTTGGTTCAAGATCAGCTCGTGCTGGTTTTGGAGCCCTGATCATGTGTGTTTTTTGAGGGAGGAAAACATTTCCGTCAGGTGTAGCAGATATTGGGAAGAAAAAGCATTTGCTGAAATGGATCCATGAAAATTAGTTGGGGTGTTTGGTGGTAAATGAGAAATGAATGCAAAAAAAAAAAAAAACTTATAACATGAATATAACTGTATAGCTTACCATACAAATGATGTGATTGTACATGCTGTTAACATGTACAATCTGCAGTGTTAACATGCAGTTGTTAACACTGTCTTTTGCAAGACCATCTGTGGGAAGAAGGTAGAAAAGTAATCAGTAATATATAGATTGTGTACCAAAGAATGAAAGCACATTTCCATCTACAGCATGGTAATGGTAACAGGGTATTATTATTAAGGTGCTGTTTTTACAAATCATTTCAAGTATTGGTGACAACCTGTACAAACATTGATAATATTGCTGTCACAACACCCTACTAACACCACATGTTGGCACCCTTTAGCATTGTAATGCTTCACAGGCAACAGGAAAATATTGCCGAATAATATTTATTACTCTGTATTCAATAGCAGTCTTTGATAACTTGCCTACCAATCCATCCATTCTTGATCAACAATTTAAAAAAATGCTGCCTTTCTCAATTATAGCACCGTATTACATGGCTTCATTTGCATTCTCAATTGAGAATAGCATCACCATTGCCAGGTCATTTCAAACTCAAAAGCTTTTCATGTTTTCCCACCATTTGGTCAGATTAAGAAGAATTAGGGCTTGTAGCATTAATGGTTAAACTGTACACTTGAAGAGAGTATTGAACACAGAGCTCTGGTCTTTTTAATTCACTCTGTGTGTAGGGTTCCCGTGCAGCCTCAGAAATGAGCAACTAGACAGCAAAGGCAGCAGAACAGCTTTGATAGAGGTAATTGATCTTTCAGAGTGCCAGCTGGAACAGAGTCCACTGCACCTGCAACAGCCTCTCTGGTTTATAAACACATTTTATCTTCTGTCCTAAACAAACAGGAATTAAAAAAAAAAAAAAAAAAAAAAAATTCTTTGGCTTTGAGTCGTCACTCGTGGATCCTTTTTTACGTGCTTTGGTGACCTAGGTCTGGAAACTGAGCATGATTGACCATGGCAACACTTTGAATTCAGTGTTAGTTACTAGACAACACTGAGTTCTAGTGTGATGTTTTGGTACAAAAGCCTAAGGCAATACTCAGCAGAAGTGAGTAGATAATATTACCTTTCCATGTAATATGGTGAGACAGTTATTCAAATTCTGTTGTTTTATAATTCATCTACCTAGTTACAGGAGAACTAAGGGGGAGTATTTCAGTGACAAAGTAATGTTCCTAAAAGCCCAGTGCTTCACAACACTATGCAACGTTTTGATTTACTACTGACATGAGAGAAAAGGTCCTATCTGAATGATTAAATGCATTCTCTGCCCCTAAGTCAACAGTAGTCAACAGACTTCTAACCAAAGGCTGACCAACACTGATGCTGGTAAGAGCAGGAAGTTTGCTAAATATCTTAGAAGGGGAATAACTGTAGACTCTGAAATTCTTGAAGTAAAAAGCTCTCATCCCAATTCCTCAATTTGGTCATTTCTTAAATCCTGCACTTCTGTTTTTGCGTCTGCCCCTGTTTGTTGATCTCTGAATTTTTAGAGATTTTTCAGGGTAAAAGAAATGCAAGTCTGAGTGACTTGAGATGAGATATGGAAGTTCCATGAGTTATCACATTACTAATGTCACCTTGTGCCACATTTAGGAAGATAAAGAGTTGTGGTCTAAGAAAAGTTCGATGTCTGTGTCCCTAGGTCTAGTTATTTCCTGGACACCCCATTTTAGTTGAAATTATACAGTAGCAATATTTTTTCCACAAAGAAGCCATAGAGCTTTCTAGAATACAAGATCTATGGACTTAGAGGTACTGCCTACATCAAAATATTTTTCAATCTGTTTATCATCCCAGCCTGTGATACCATTTGTATTCACTTAGTGCTCTTGCAAACATAAAAACACTTTGTTTTCTGCTTAGCACGTGTCCGACTTCAAAAGAGGGAGGGCTTTTTAGGCTTAAAAGTTCTGAGAAAAGGATTTCACAGGACCGGACTCAGGTGCTGAAATAAGCTGTGCTGGCTTCAGTGAATTTGTGTGCCTTATCCCAGTTGTGAATATGGCTTCAGTTTTCTACAAGAATAAAACAAATCCTTTCAGTTCTTTCACAAGTGCAAGTATGAACTAACTGTCATTAAAGCTACACTAGTTAGTGGCTTTCTGGTGAGTATCAAGCTGTTTTTTCAGCCTGAAACTTAGCCTCTGACTACTGAATAATAATATCCTCTTGCAGGATCAACCCAGTATCATTATAATTTGGTAACAAAAGCATCGTTGTTAGGCTGAGTCACAAAGCACTGTGCGTCAATACATCTACAGAGTGAGAGGCCAGAAGCTGAAGTTAGGGCATATCAAATAATAACCGGTAACCAAACACATCACACCCAGTATTACTTTCTCAAGACAATTTGTATTTAAGCCTTAATGTTCTTTTTCCAAAGGCTATACTTCTAGTGTAAAGTTCTATTATTTCTTTTGTTCTCGTGGTAAAAATAATCATATAAAGAAACTGCAGATTCTACTCACAGCAGTTCTCTCTAAAATTTGAAGGTTTTGGAAGAAAGATGAGGAGAGCTACTAACTAGAATGCAAATTTCTTGAAGGGAACTCCAGCAATGGTCACAAGATCCACCCCAGCTGAGCTCTACTGCAGTCTGCATGGCTTACTCACGATAAGCCCAGACTAGTCTTGCAGCAGTCAAAACAGAAAGACAAGATACAGCCTCAGAAGTCCCTTTGGAGCAAACATCTGCAAAATTAAATATGAAGATCATTAGTGACAGAAATGCTACTATCAAACAGTAGGGAAGAATAATGCACCCTGCTTTTTCTTTCTTGCAAGCAAAAGGAGTAGGTATGGAAGGTTTGTCTTGTTTGGGGTGTTTTGCCAGGAACCTCAAGCTGACAGCTCTGCTGCTTTTGAGAGGAAGAAGTGAATGCTTCTGCCCACATGCTGTGCAGGTGAAGGCTAAGGAGCAAACAGGAACAGGGCTGCAGCTGCAGTCTCACTGCTTGGAGCAAATGCTCAGAAGCACAGCTCTGCCTCTGTAGTGCACCACTTCAGCAAGCCCTAGCTCTGGAGATTTTTACTTAACACTTCCTCTGACGAGTCTGCACAACACTGAGGCAGGAAAGGTCTCATGTGCTTGATCCATGTCTCGCTATCATACGGTGACTGAAGATGGTTCCAAGCATCTATCTCTTATAGCCAAACAAGCTCTCAAAGAGCATTTACTATTACTTACTTCTTATAATCTTGCATGCAGGACGGTGACAGGACATAATGAGATAAAAACATATATATTATTGTACAAAAGAGTCTCACATCTGCAGTCCTGAATTAGTAGTGGCTGCAATTACTATGTAGGCAATCCCCTGCACCTTCATTATTTGTGTTACAGGGCCACTGTCATTAATACAGAGATAAATGTAGACTTCAGCAAATGCCAAATTTATCCTTTTCATTTTGAATTGCTAAGGCACTGAACAAACTGCAAATCTGGAAACTGTTCGCTTCCTCAACAGAAGCATTTGCTTGTCTGTTTCTGAAGGTTTTGGTGTAATTCTTTCAGATGTTCTGTCCAGAATTGTAACTGATATTTATCCTCTGATGGAGCACTATGCCTTTTTTGTGAGATAAGGTCGTTTTAGCTATCCAACGCCCTCTGAACTGCTCTCAGCCATTCTTCAGCAAATAACACAGGATACCCTCTCTTCACAGCTCAGGTTTAACATACAGTGTTTACTCCATAACAGCACTCAGGACAGTGAGGATTTCCTCTGAGTGGTGGTAAAGTTTTCTGTAAATCCACCATTTTTAATAATCTTTGAATGCATTTCCCTGCAAGGGTTTCCTTAACACAGCCCTAAGCCAAATGAGCTTCCCCCATTCATCTTCCTGTGCAGATATTTTTCTTACCTGGGGGCCTGAATGAGAGCTGT